ACAAAAATATTGTTAGAGGAAGATATTTTAAATTTTATATCTTACGTTTTTCTTTATACTGCTTAATACTTTTAATTCAAGTATAATAGAAATAAACAATAATCTAATTATAAATTTGACTTGTCTGTCAGATTGTTTGTATCCAATAAATGTCAATACGGCTGATCCGATCGGGCCCAATTTTTTTGTGGGAACTCACGTGACCCCAGGGAAGGTTTATGAATGATCAAAATTTTAAAAATTTGTGCTTAAAAGTTTTTTATTTTGTAAAAGATTTTAAATCTTGAAAATCTGCAAATCTTTTTTATAAAATCCACGAAATTTGTTTTCCTTTGTTTTTCAACATTATAATGAGAACATCAGACTTACCTATCTTAAAATAGAGGGATTTCAAATTCGTCGACACTCCCTTTAAAAATATATTAAAAAAATTTTTTACCAAGTAAAACAAGTTATAATCACCCCCCCCCCTTTTTTTTGAAAATCATTTTGTTTCCCGGTCCCCAGCTGTTAAAGGTATGTTTAGGGTTTTATTGGTGAAATGGCGGAAATAAATCGTTTTTACGGGAACATTAATCGTTTTTACGTGAACATTAATCGTTTTTACGTGACCATTAATGTATCATTTGGTAAAGGATATAAAAAAGATGAATAGTCTTGCCTTCAGGTGTCCTATTTTTCATTCCACCCAGAACATCAAAAATCTGGCCGGCGTGGGGTAGTAATTCTTTAAAATGGGTCTTTTATGCGATTAGACTGTAGTGTGTGTGTTACAATAAATAAGTAATCTACATTTCATAACAGTTCCCTTGAAAGCTTTTCTGATTTAGAATAAATGGGATATCCTTTTTTTCAATCTGAAAATTATTTATATTTAATTGTTATTTCTCTTTAATAATGACTTGCGGGTAATCATAGAAATAACGCCAAAAATCTCTTCAAGCTAAACAAAACGGCATCTTTCACATTAATGATCTGAATAGGACATGTCCCTCTTTCAATAGAGAGTCGGTTAAAATTACATAGAAAGTCCCGTTAAACCTTAAGTATGTAGTTTTAAAATATGTCTGATCTAGCGATGTCTGAGGACCATGCCTGGGTTGTGTATGGACCTGAGGGACATCAGACTGTTGAGGTATAGTACATACCATCTTATTGGTGCATAACAAATCATTCGAATAGAACAAATCATCGGTACATAACATAAATATCATTAGTATATATCATCGAAAGTAGTAACTATGATTTTGCTTGTAAATTAAATTTTGATATTGTTGGGGAGATAAGGTTTTTCTCAAAAATTCACGGATCAGAATTTTTTGCCGAATCCGGAAAAAAAGGCAAGTAATTGGTTCGGTCAGTTTATTATGTATGTATTCTTCTCCGAAAAAGTTAAGATATAATATTAAGTCGAAACTCAAAACCTGATGTTTGTATGTGTGCCGGAAGTGTCTTAAAGGGACAGATCGGCTATGTAAGGTAGTTTAGCTGAGTAGCAGTGTTGTGAACAAATTCTTTAGGATTCATTTGAGACAATATAAAACGTTTCCACGATGTAAAATTACCGAGTTTGAGTTCATAGTCGAAGTTCAAAATCATGAATTTGGGTGGGTACGTTTCAGAATCTTTTTTTTTAAATGATTAAATAACGACGACGAAAAATAACGTAAAAATTATACAGTGAACTAATTAGATGGTTAGGAACATATTTCTCAAAATAAATTTGTCAATAAATCAGTGCTAGAATCAATTATTTCGTTTTCATCATTATATTGAATTTCTTATTTTCTATGAATTTTTTCGCAGATTTCTTCAAATTCTTCAAATGTCGTCTTTCAAAATTTTTTAGAAAATCTGCGTTAAATCTTTGTAAATAATTGAGAGATTATAGAAACTAATAATTGAATAAGATTACTAATTTTTGATGATATGATTAATTTTATTTTCTCAGCCTGATCCTAAACAGCTAATTAGTTTACTGTAGAATTTTGTTTACATTTTTTTGTCGTCGTTATTTAATAATTTAAAAAAACAGTTTCTGAAAACGTATCCACTCAAAAGTACGATTTTTAACTTCGACTTCGCGATCAAACTTTAGAGATCTTTAAAAATGAATGAATCCTAAAGGGTTTGTCCACAACACTGCATACTCAGTTCAACTACCTTACATAGACGGTCTGTCCCTTTAAACGGGATATTTCTAGAAAAATTACCCTGATATCCATTGATTTGATTACTAAAATGCAATCCTTTCAATGAAAATTGACTATTCAGTTCGGAATTTGCCAGTAGAATATTCGATGAAGCATTTTCTAAACGAGTTTAAAAATAAAATACATAAAATAAAGACTCGTTTAGAAATTTTAAATCTGGGTGTCGCCAAATTTGTTTTTAACAATCAAAGGCTAAGACTGTTTTGTATTAAAATATACTAAACTTTTAAATAATCATATGTTAGATATATTGCCAGATAGATATGCCTTCTAATAGTTTTCATTCTATTAATATGAAAAGTTGTCCTAAAACTGACAGAATTTCAAGTTATTCTAGGTTATACACCATTTTATTTTATTCTTAAAATTCCGATAGGGACTGTCAGAGTTTAATTAAACTTACATACACAGATGGCATTTCCCTATTCACAACAGTACCACTTTTTTTAGCTAATCAATAATGCAGAAAAAATTTCTTGGTTTATAAGTGATTAATTCTGATAATTTTGTATTTGAGCCTCTAATTATTTCTTGATAGGTGTTTATATATCGTGAAGAAGACGATTCTAAGGAATGTATAGTACTGCTGACTTTTGCCCCAACTCCTCACTGTCTGTCAGTGTTCGACTCTACCTCACTATTCTTCTTTTACCTGCTCCTACATCTAATACCTTGATCCTTACTCTTTATTTGTTCACTTATAAACTATAAACATCAATTTCTAATTCATCAAGGCAAAAATTTTAAGGGTGCTGTTGTGAATCGGGCGTTCATATCTTTGCATTGAGGGTCACTTAAAAATAAATTTACAGCCTCTTTATATTGTCAATGATTTCTCTATGTAGAGGTATGGAGGTGGCAGCTGTTGTATCTGCCATGAGTCCAGCAATATCTCCTACATTAGACAGTTTGGAGGTAATCAATTATCCAAAAACTAATTTTTCTGGAAAAAATATGCCAACTTTGCATAAAATTGATGATTTATCGTATTATTGGAATCTGGGGGATTTAGAGAAAGCCATTTCATTGGACGTATTATTGGAATCTGGGGGATTTAGAGGAAACCATTTAATTGGACGCATTATTGGAATCTGGGGGATTTAGAGGAAACCATTTAATTGGACGTATTAAGGGAATCTGGGGGATTTAGAGAAAGCCATTTCATTGGACGTATTCAGGGAATTAGGGGGATTTAGAGGAAGCCATTTCATTGGACGTATTCAGGGAATCTAGGAGATCTAGAGGAAGGATCACCAACTCATGGTCGACCAAATCCTGCTCAACTCTATCATCAGGAATTCAATCATAATGAACTGTATCATGCGTCTCAGAACTGTGTTGACTGTTGATGTCCAATTTATTTTTTTCCCAAAAGCATCAATTATTATTCTTCCAAGATCTTCCAAATTAATTTTATACCCTGATATTTTATGATGAATGACTAAGGGGGTTCTTGTAAACCAGAAGGAGTACAATAACAGACATGTGTACCCATACATGTACTCGGCAGGTATTTGTACTTTGCACCTTTTTTATTTGAATGCATTCTGTATAATGTATGTGAAGTTTCTATTGAATTTTTGCAACAAGTTCCTTTAAAGAATAACAAAGGCTATTTGGTTATAATTGCAAGTTTGTGCTGAGAATCCATTCTTTTGTAGAATAAACAATAAAGAATGAAATATCTAGAAAGATGAAAATGAAACCAGAAACCCAAGAAGACTTCTAAACATTAAGAGCCAATTTGGCCCTAGTGAGCGGCCATTCATGAAATCAAATAATATTTTTAAAGTAATCAGCTTATTGGTTTTATAAGTTAATTTAAGTACAGTAATTCCTGTTTTGGCCGCTACTCGTACGTTGGCGCTGGCAGCTAAAATATTGGTACATTGTCTTCTGAAGGAAACCCCTCATACAATATTATATGCGTAGGATACAACTATAGAGCAGGAGACTTTAATTTGGCTTTACAGGATTGGGCAGGAGCCGCAGCCGTTTTAAAAGGATACAGGTATATATTTTTCTCGATTATCACCTAATCTACTGAACCCAACGTCTGCTGCCCCCCCCCCCCCCCCNTGTTTTTAATCTTTGTGAAGAAACAATCTTAAGAAATAATAATTGTCTTAAACATTTTTTTTAAAAGTGAATATTTGCAAATTATCTTTTTTCCATCTCATAATCTGAGTTCGTTTCCCTTATGTCCATTTGACAGCCCAAATTTTTATTTTGAATAATCTTTTTTGTTTGTTTATTTTCTTGTGATTTTTTACAAAAAAAATTTAATTTTTTTTTATCGATTTTGATGGTTATTATATCGTTAGAATTGACGAGGGTCAACCCAGACCGAAATATATTTTCAATAAATGTAGAACTAACATCTACTTTTTTTACTCTACAGAGGTTTGTTCCATCACCATCACAGAATTTTAAATTTAAAATATATTATAAAATATACACCTCTATGTAGACATGGCAAAGATGATGAGGAGATCTATAAAGAGTTTATGGAGATCAATAATGAACTCATTCCACACCTTCTCAAAACTCAAGGTAGAGGAATATTATTAATCTTTCCTCTTTATTTGTGGCAGGCCTTGATGATAAAATAATAGATTTTTTTTCCAATTTTTTTTAAAAAATTTGAATAATTTTTTTAAGAATCTGATATTTTGAGAGAAAAGCTCATGACTTCTCTTTAATTCAATAAATTTCCCCATTTCTTTAAAAATCAGCTCCAGCTTCATCTTTTAGATTTAAAATTTTCAACAAAAAAATAATGATTTACACATTTTCACATTTACAAATTTTTACAAATTTTTGGGAAAATTAATTGATTTTTCAGAGTAAAGCTTTCAATAAAGTTCTCTTTTATAAATTCTTAAAAAGCTTTTGAAATATTTGCTTGATGTTTATAATTTGCTGAACAATTCATTTTCTTGAATAGATAGTCTTATTTCTGCATTTAATTTCTAAAATCTAAAAATGGGATAAATTGTATGGAAAGTTTGCAAAGGATTTACTAAACATTTAATCTTTTCCTTAGATTACAACTTTATTTGAAGTTTTTCTCGTTTTAAGTAGAGAAGAAGAATTCATTAATTATCTTTTCTTAATTTGTTTAGAATGTTCAATTCTTTTTTCTAAAATTTTACCAATGAATGACCCAATTTACTTGTTGAAATAAATTGTTTAAAGTTTGGTTTCTAATAAATTATTTTTTAAATGTTTTTTTATAGACTGATTCAAGTGATCAAGTCTATTTAGATGACAGCAGAAGAATCGAAGGAAATATTGCAATTCAAATATTCATTGTTTCTGTAGATCCTTGCTTATTAATTTAAAATTTTTAATATAAGCAGGGGAATATACTTTCTGTGATTTCATTATGATGACAAAAATTCCTGAATGTCTTTTTTATCCATTTTATTTTCTCAGCTTAACTCAAGGTCGGAACATTTTGGAGTAACAACAATCTTGAAAACTTTATCTTGATATCCTATGTGGCCACTTTTAAATGTCAGCATAAATACTTAATCCCTCAGATGCATTTTTCCATGCAGGGTATAACCAGTGGCCACCACACTCCACTGTATACTGTATCCTGTTGGATTCTACCTATTCCTATTTTAGGTAGTCCACTTTATGTTTAGCCGATTCCTATTTCAGGAAGTCTATTGTTGGATTCTACCTGTTTCTCTAACCTACTACAGTTCTATGACGGACTTTGCTCTTGGGAAGAGAACTCATCTACTCCTGTTCTTCATATTGGTAATAGGCTTATAGGGATATCCATGTCCCCTTTTCTATGAACAATTTTAAATTCTAATTGTTGCTTTGTAAAACTCCAATTTTAATCATTCTCAAATTTTCGCGGATTTTTCAATTTAAATTGGCGCATTTTCCATAAAAAATGTTGACATTTTTTCCGGTTGAAATTTTCAACTTTGACTGTCAAAATTTTCAATGTTGACTGTTCATAAACCTAGGGTTATGTGGGTGGGTTGCTATAAATAGTATGAAAAAGATTGAAAAAACTTACCTTTTCATNCGTGTTACCCATTAATAAACACATTAATAAACGTATTGGCTTCAATTTTAAATTATCAAACATCTTTTCTAAATTTTGACGTTGATTGTTGGAAAATGAACGAATAAACAAAGAAATGTATCGTATCGTGTATATTTATATTCATACTATAAATTTTCAAATAGTTGTTGATAAATATTGCATATACATATAATCTAGGCGTTTAGGGTACTTCGCGCAAATCTCCTTTTTAAAATGTACAACATTTTCTCTTTGCATACTTTGTAAAAAAGAATTGGCGGATTTAAACAAAAATATTGTGAATTTTCATGACTTAATAAAAGTTGAATTTTGTTGTAAGCTAATTTATAAATATCTGATCACCCATAAACCTTCCCTGGGGTCATGTGAGGTCCCACACATAATTTGGGCACAATCCGATCAGCTGTTTTACGTTTATTAAATACAAACATACAGAGAAGCACTTTTTACTATTTTCATGTTTAAATATATGAATGGAAAACTGGCATTATCTTTTAATGGAATGTTCACAACATTAGCAGAACCAAATAGAACAAAAAGTTTAAAATTAGAATTAGTTTACAATTAATTTCTAGAAAGTTTTCCAACTTTTTTCTTCCAAGGACCTGGAACTCTATTCCACTAATATTAAAATCTCTAGGCTCCCTAACAAGTTTTATAAAAAGTTTTCTCGAAGAATATGGTAATTTGCATTGTTATGTATTAATCAAAATTGCATTCCTTGTTAAATCTTGATTCTATCCCCTTTCCCCTGTTATTATAACAAAACATAATAATTAATAAAACATAACTAATTATAATCTTTGTNCTGTTCCTGTCTTCTCCTCTATCTAATCCTTTTCCTTCTGCTCCACCTCTTCTTGCTTTCTTTTAGTTCTAAATTGTTTTGTTTCATTTTTGTAATATTTAATGTAGCATTTTTTAACATTGGTTTGTAGAATTGGCTCAGTTCGAGTTTCTGGTGATTCACAAGAAGGGGATCAAAAATGTGAATGCAGATGCCTTGTCAAAATCAGATCATATAGAAAAACCAACGAAGGACAAGGTCAAAGAGTATTAGATATAGACAACTAATTCTACAGATCTAGAAGGAGAATCAGCAATAAATTTGAAGAGATGCGGAAGTGTGCCAGATATTCACCTGCAGTGCACAGCATGGGCCAAGAAGCAAGACATGAGATCATAGAAGGGAACACGCTAAAGAAACTACAGGAAGCTGATGAAGTCCTGTAGGAAGTTATCCAATAGGTTGAAGAAGGTAAAGCACCACACATGCAAGAATTAAGAGGTAAAGGTGAAGGAGTATTGACAGATCTTCAATCCTATGCTGTTTGTGATGAAGGAAGGTGTTTTATGCTACAACAAACACACAGATCCAACAAAACCATATAATGCTCTGCGTATCTGCATACCGAAAGCAAGGTTGAAAGAAGCATTCTAGATCTGTCATGATGGATTAACAACTGGACATAGAGGAGTTACTGGTATGTTAGACAAATTCCAGAGAACCTTCTTTGTCAGCTTGGGACAAGATCAGAAGACTGGTAGAACGCAATATCTGTCTTACCAAAAAAAGAAGCATCAAACCCAAGATGGGACCACTTGTGCTGAGTACAGTGGGAAACGTAGGGGAGAAAGTCTTCATTGATCTGGTGACCTTGTCTGAAACAATAATGAATAACCATTATTTGGTGACAGTACAAGATGGATTTACAAGATTTGTCAGTGCTTATCCGATTTGCAACAAGGAGGCTGGCACAGTGACAATACCAAGACACCACCATACAATCCATCAGCAAATATTGTGGAGAGATGGCAATTAACTATAGTGGGTATTTTAAGAGCCATGGGAAGAGAGATGCAGGATGAATGGGATCTGGGTGTAAAAGCTGCCTCTCTAGCTTACAACACCACCATGCATACTAAGACATGGGTCAGAACCCATTCTTTGCCATGATCAGACAGAAAGCTATACTTCCTGTGAATTGGATATATCCCGTACTTAAAGCTGACAGGGCAATGGAGTTATCAGACTGGACAGTAGTGATGCAAGAAAGGTTCCAAAGGGCTTATTCTAATATGTGAGAGAAACAACAAACCAATAGTATGCCTAAATGCTCAATACTACAAAGCAATATTGTCAAGGTTTAAAGTTTGACAGTGGGTCTGGGTTTTTGATCCAACAATAATCCCTGGAAGTTGTGACTAGTTAAGATCATATTTAGGGCTAGACCATACAAGATTATCAGGAAGATATTTCCAGCTTTAGCAGAAGTGATGGAAGTGTCAAAGAAAGGAAAACCCAGGCTGGTCAGCATAGATGTGTTAAAAGAGTTCAAAGGAGATAATAGTGCATATGGGTTTCCCAGTGATCCATCACATTCTACAATTTTGAAAGATGAGATCAGTGAAGTTCCAAATCTCATGGTAACCTCAACAGCTTTGAATGTTGATCCAACAGCTGTAATTACCACAGGAACTGACATATTGTCATACAGGAAAGATAATATGTCTAACAACGAAGATGATAGAGAAGTTAGTCCCCCTCCTGAGGACCAATCGGAAAGTAATGCGGAATTATGGAGAATAACATATCTGGAGGAGTGGAAGCACCCCTTCCCCCCCCCCCCCCCCATCTGTCTAGAAGATGACAACGTAGATATTGAAACACGGAATAAATTCCTGGAAACCCAAGACAGATGGGATCGAGCGGTCAATCAGTAATCCAGATTCTGATATCATTCTGGAACCAGACATCAATATGGATACGTCAGCTGTTACTAGGACACAAAAATGACAGAGATATCAGTAAAATAGAGAATCAAAGTAGTGACATAGGGAAGGGATCAAAAGGAGTCAAAGAGTCATCCCAATTGTATCCTATGAAGAACTAGAGGATGACCTGGATGACTTGGATCCGCCTAACCGTTGCAGATATGGAGCTAATTGCTTGTTAGGGCAATGCAACTGTATTGAAGAGAAAAATGACGAATGACAGTCAGAGAATCATATGAAACAGAGCCTGTTCAATAAAAGGAAGTTTATGAATTCTCTGTTTGCAGGGGAGAAAGCAGAGTGGGAACAAAACAAGAAAAAATGTGGAGTTGCTGAATTGTATAAATTAAGGGATAGATGGCCTTATTTTTCAACATTCTTTCCCTTTTCCCCTCCCTCATTTGTAGTAATTACTGTGTCATGTCCCACAGTAACCTAGATAAAATACATTGTACATTATCCATAAATCCAACTGCGCTTATCAGTAATTACCCAAATCCTGTATTGGGATTAACCAACCACAGACATGTATATATGTATAACTCTTTTGAACCCATATTGTGATTAGCTTAACTATGGTTGTATATAATGATGCTTAAACGATTACTAAGCAAGAGCATTTAGGGAACGAGAAACCCCAGTTTTCAAGATTGCGTCCTAGTTGAGGCATTGAAAGTTTACAAGATCGTGTCCTAGTTGAGGCATTGATAGTTAACAAGATAGTATCCTAGTTCAGGCATTGATAGTTTATAAGATCGTTTTCAAGTTGAGGCATTGAAAGTTTACAAGATCGTCATTTAACTCAGTCAACTCCTTCCCGAGGAGTCGGACACAAATCTCCATAATTTCACTATACTCAAGTCCAAGGGTTCCCTCAAAAAATGTCAGCCTATTTGGTCCAGCCGTTTGGCCAGCTATAGCATTATGATATCTTCAAGATAATTTGCCAGGGACAAGATCTAGGATTGAATTTCGGTTTGATTTAAAAAGGTGAACTGTGAAGAAAACAGGTAGTGGATGGCTGGCCGGGAAATTGTTTATGTTGGTTCTTGGCGTTGCGAAGTTGTTGTTGCAAAAGTAGAGGAGCAACGTAGATAGACGCGACCAACATAGCCTCTCTGCCTCTATTGCCCTGAAAACCCTACTCCCCTCCCAGTAAGAGACCTTTGGAACCATCCCACAGATGTCGCAAAATTTATGAAGTTGGAACGTGAAGAAGATGACCATGAATGAGAGCCGGCCCTGGCTATAACAACAACAACAGGATTGAATTTTTAGACATTGCTTTTCCAAATACCTGGCATATAACATGTTGCATGGCAACTAAATTTAGATAATTCCCTGGAAGGATTGCAAGTTTTCAAACAGATAGCAACAAATATTCAAGTTTAAATTGTTCATGTTCATCAAGTGTAAACTCAGATATTAAGCTTGAATTCTAAATATGGGTTTATGTTTTAACAAGTTTAAGAAACAAACTATGGGATGGGAGGGGGGGGGGGGGGGGACTTTAAGTTTCCAACAAGTTTTCAGCTTTCTTTAAATAAAGGTTTAACTCATACCCCCCCCCCTCCCCCAAAAGGGTTCTGAAATCGGAAGAAGGAGGGTGAAAATTGACCAAGGAGGTTTGAATTGACCAAGGAGGTATGATTTGACCAAGGCTGTATAAATTGACCAAGGCCAGAAATTCTATGAATATGAAGCATAATTTTTACATCACATTTAGAGTTCCAATATTTTCTTATATTTAAAATGTCTGACAAAATTTTAAGATTAAGAAATGATCTGTTTTTGAATAATGATTTCAATTGCTTAAGTCATCGATTGTTTAAGTTCCTTAAATGAAAAATTTGATTAAGTTCTATTGCAAGTCATTATTAATGACAACTAAGTAATTCTCAATGTTGTATAAATTTTTAGATTAAAATTTCTTGTTTGAACCTTCTGATGATTGACGGGTTTAGTCAATCCTGAACAACTTTTTATCAATGGACAGAAAAGAAATGAATAAACTTACTTCAGAATTTCAGATTTTTGATATTTTACATTTCTATTTTCATTTCCAGGCAAAATATGTTTTTAAATTAAATCATTTAAATCATATTCTGTCTTGTGCTTTAATTTTTATATAGGAATTAGTTATAAAATCTAATATTAGCATTTCCTTTTACGTAGAGCTATGCTTTTGTGATAATCTAGATCTTAGAGATTACTTAATCAACTTTACTTTTAATTTCAACACCTTTGTTTTGTATATTTTTTGTCTATATTATAATTCTCTTCGCTCATTTATGTATAATGTATATACTTTGCTAGTCTGTTTGTCTTTCTGTTTTTATCCGACAAACGTCAAAACGTATGGGACCTCATGTTACCCAAGGGAAAGTTTATGAATGATCTAAATTTCAAAAAATAGCCTCTAACAAAGCTTGATTTTCATAAAATTTAAAAATCCACGAATTTTTTTTCATAAAATCTGCAAACTTAGTCTTCTTTTTGGTTTTACAATGTATACAAAGAGAAAATTTTCACAATTGAAATAGAAGATGAAGCCTAGTAGTATATGTTTATATTTGTATTTATTTATATATATGTAAACTATCTGCTATTGCTGGCCAAACTGCTGGACCAAATTGGCTGAACTTGTTTAAGGGAACCCTCGACTACCCCGGCGGAAACATTTAAAAAAATTAAAATATTTTTTCAAAAAATATTTTTTTTCTTTTTTTCAAGGGCAACGCTGGGCTCTTCAGCTAGTATATAATTACATGGGATTGGGATTGGGATTGGGATTGGGATTGGGATTGGGATTGGGATTAGATTGGGATTGGGATTGGGATTGGGATTGGGATTGGGATTGGGATTGGATTGGATTGGATTGGATTAGCCACAAACCTGTTTTAACATTAATTGAATTCAAACAAGCAGCCAAGTCAAACATGTATTGAGTTATAGATTGTAGAAAAATAAATAGAAATTTAAAAAAAAAAACTGGAATAAATGAATAATCATATAGAATTCGACATTTTTTTTAATTCAAAGCCTTTTTCAGATTTGAACTTTTGTCACGTCAAACTAAAGAAAACTTTACCAAAGATTGAAATCTTAAATGTTTATTATTATAACTCAGAACAAAAATGTTTTGAATTTCTATTATAACCTGATAAATTTTCTTTCTCATACTTGTGCGTAAAATCAGAACTAAAGAAGCAAGGAGGTCACAAAGTCGTACTAGTAATTTTGCATAAATTTTACCTCCTCCTTCTGTCTAGATTGCAACGTCTGTGCCTGTAAAGTATATAATACAATCCAATGTTTAGGCTGGGTAAAACCAATGGTGAAATGTATATCTCAGTTCAGTGCTTCTGTTCGGGCTAACATAGAAATTTCAACTTTAGAAGGTATGGATTTTATTTACGCTGAAGAGACTGTCAACGATTAGTAATTCTTATTATGAATGACATGTCAAATTCGTCAGGATACCCTTTTATTGTTTTTAACTTAAAAAATAGGTTAAATTATTATCTTTGTGGCATGAATTGAATACCGTTAAAGGGACTGTAAAGGAAAAATAAAAGGGGGTATAGGCTGAAAGCTAATCACTTTAGCTCTCGATCGCGACCCATGCAAGTTATATCTGATGTTCCTATCTTGAGAAACTGATTTACGACTGTGTCAAATTTATACGAAAATTAATATATATACAATTTTGTGTAAAAGTAGTCAGTTTAAAAAGATCAAATTCAGCAAATATGCAACCAATCTGCAAACGATGATATCCCAAAGAAAGCTAATTGTAACTTAGGTTTACTCCAATTCTAATAATATAATTATTATTTCTATTTTTAATAGATTTTATTCATAATATTATTTATACGTCCGTATTGCTTGACCAGAAATTCCACCAATGGCAGTGCAGTAAAGTGGCGGAGACACGTGACCAGTATACTGCTCTGCCATTGGTGATAGTTCTGGTCACGTGATTTAAGTTTAAGATTTTCTAAATTCTACATATATGAATTTCGTATAATTTTAACACAGTTTTATATCAATTTCTTGAGACAGGAACATCAGATAAAACTTTCATGGGTCTCGATCGAGAGCTAAAGTGATTAGCTTTCAGCCTATACCCCCTTTCATTTTTCCTTTTCAGTCCCTTTGAGTAACTTTAATAAGGAAACCATGAATGGAGAGTCACTTTTAATTAAGTCTACAGTTCCTTTATGACTGTTCAAAATAAAGAAAAAAAGAAAATTAATCAACAAACTGTGACAGCCAAATAACTCTGAACTAGAAAGTCGTCTTTAAACTAAAGTTGTTACTTAAAAAACTAAAAAGTCTAATGAAAATGAGGAGCAGCAACTGTGCAGTGTAAACAGACCCATTTCATTTAATAAGTGATTTGATAACTGTGAAGCTATTTCCTTGGTAACAACAGCAAATGCACTTCAGTATTGCTTTTATGTCGTCTTCCTATTCTACAGTTTTCTGTTTATCACTGTATTGTTATAGTCACAACTGACATATCAAATTAATTCTTGTGATTAAAAAAATTATTGAATTTAAAATGTGAGAATTAAATTTTTTGTTAGTTTTAGAGAAACAAATATGTGACTTTCCCTATTGAATGATTTCAAGATTTATTTACTTTTTTTCTAAAAAATATTGTAAGTGTGTGTTGTCTGATTATACCCAGAAAAAAATATTTTATCTTTTTTTCAGATATTTCATTTTCTAGAACTTTTCAAAGTAAACATTTAGAACAAGCTTAATTATTAATTATTTTTGTTATTCCATTTCCCTTCAGTTTTTGGTTTTATTGAAGCAGTGCTTAGGATCCCTCTAACATTTACAGGAACTGTAAGTGTAATTTCAAGTGACTCTCCATGCAAAGATGACAATGCCAAATTCGCAATGCTACCCTTTGAAAGCGCAAGTCAATTAAGTAGAGAAACCCCAATTGTAAACAATTAGTTTTAAAAATTACAAACATTGATATCTAATTCATATTTGATCAGACAAAACAGTTAAGGGTACCATAGTAAATTGGGTATTGTCATATTGAGGCCCTGGTTCTACAGATTCCACACAAATAATGCGGATCCAGGGATCCGACCAGAACATCAAAAAAACTGTTTTCTCTCAAAACACACATTTTGTGTCAACCAATTAAATTAAAACATTACAATTAAAATATGAAACCAAAAGAAGTCATTTTTGTAATTTTTTTTCATCTAAAATTAATTAACAAAACTTAAAAAATATTCACGAGCTAAGGATGCGGATCTATTGTTTAAAAGAATAGATCCGCATTAAAAAAAAGGATTCTAAGCATTGAAGGCAGGGGTGAATATTTTCTTGGAAAATCACTTAATGAAAAAAAAATTATTTTAGGAGAACATGAATAAAACTAAGTACAACATATCAAAAAGGGTAATAATGGTGTCCAATTTTTCACCCCCCTCCCCCCTCTCCTGAAAAATACACCTCTGCATTAAAGCTCCGTTTTCTAAGGTATCGAAGAAAGTACAGATCCCAATGGTTCAGGAGAAGGGAAGATATGGGATGAATATATTATGGAAAATAATAATTACAAAACTTCATTCGACTGTTTATCACCAGGGACGTTTTGAGTATTTCAATTATTTTTTTTTTTTTTAGTTGAATTTTCAAATGTGCACTTTATGTAGGGAGACAAATCTTGAAATGGATTTAATTTGAATATAAAATCGGTATTGAATTGTGATTCTGTTTAATGAACATCTGACAAAAGTTTTCTTGTTGATAAGACTGGGATAGGGGGAGAGAGAAGGAAAAGGGTTCAGGGAAATTTTGGCAACTTTTCTACTAGATGCATTATCCTGCTAGCTGTACAAACTGGTTTAAGGTGTGCCAAAGTGACCATAATAATTAATGAGGTTTGCAGAAATAAGACCCTTTGGCAGTCTTTAAGTGAGATCTCTTATCCATTGCATACAGCGGCTTCAACCACAGGGGTGTATAGTTTTTATCTTAAGAACTAGCTTAAATTTATATGTTATTTTTGGGACCATAATTTTCTGTCATTGATTAGTTATTGGTTTTGTTTTGGGGTGTGTAAGGGGGAGGGGTTGTCATATTAAATAAATTTTGTCATTTTAAATAAATTTTGTATATATAAACTGGGGTATAGTTAATACCGTACCCCGGTTTACTTGGAGAAACACTCCCTTTAAGGCTAAATAAGAAGAAGTCACGGTCAAGTTAAGGATGTTAAGTCTAAAGATGGTCTTGCCTAATCCATCTCTTTACATTTCTATTTCTTTGGTAATTTAAGTAGGAATAAAATATCAAGTAAAAGAGGATATGTAACAAAAATTCATTTTGTTAATTGTCAATGGTGTGGACGGAAATAAAAATAAATGTAACATACACTGTTGGAAAACTAGAATTGGAATTTGAAGAACTATTCAATTAAAAGGATTGCAAGAAACCATTTTAGATAAAGAAAGACATTATACCTACTTAAGGTGCACTGAAAGTATACAAATGTCTTTAATTTCCTCATTGCAAGTTCAACTACGTGGCATCTGAATAGATTTTCAATTTCTTATAAAAGCTCTTTTTTAGGTAGCTTTTTTATATTTAAATGCAAATTGCGGGGCACATATTTCTCCCATCTTTCTTTTATTTGGTCTAGACTAAGTAGCTTGGAAATTTTGCTAACAATAACTTTATAGTTAATACCATACAGGGGTATATATTTTTCCGATAGGCTGTTTTGAATTTTTCAAACAAAATTCTAATTTCCTTTAAGCTCAAATTGTCTCGTAAATAGTTTGTACAGCTATGAGTACTAAAAAAAAGATTTTGATGAGGGAAAATGGTTTTTTTAAAGAAAATATATACTCCTGTGTCTTTTTGTTTATTTTAAATTCACCCTTTAGAATGTATTAATGTGCAGGTAAACTATCACATTAAAGCAACTTTAGCAATTTTTATTTCACTTATAACGTTTGGTTCAGAACCAGAATCTCTCTACCAACAAGAACCAGAAACAGATTTTCTTACAATGAACCAAGACACCCTAGCTAGATATGCCTTAGGAAAGATTAAGCACCAGAGATCTTTGAATGACATATATTTTCTTTAAATAATTATTTTACCTCATGAAAAGGTTCACCAATCCTGGGTCAAAGAACATAGGTTCAAATATCAAGTGTTCAAAAATGCAAAAAAGGATTAAATGACCAAGGGTATAATGAACATAAAAATAGTTCAAATTAACCAAAAACACTTAAGATGAAAATATTGCCTGTTTGTTGCACTTTTTGACCTTATGTCATTTTAACCTTTGTCGGGTTTTTGACCATTTGTTGTTTGACCCATGGTAGTTTTCAGGGGTGTAAAGAATTCTTTCTCCCCCCCCAAGGGAAAAAGAAAGGAAAAGGGGAAGAAAAAAGTGAAGGTGAACAGTGGAAGAAAGGGAAGGATGGGGAAGGGGAGGGAAGATGAAGGGGGGGAAAGATAGGGAGGGGGAAGGAGGGGAAGTGGATGGAAGGAAAGGGAAGTGGATGGAAGGAAGAGGACAGGTAGGGAAGGAGATTAGTAGGGAAGGAGATTAGTAGGGAAGGAGATTAGTAGGAAAAGAGATTAGTAGGGAAGGAGATAAGGAGGGAAGGAGGAGATAGGTAGAGAAAGAGATAGGTAGGGAAGAGGAAAAATAGGGAAGGGGAAGGTTGGGAGGGAATGAGGAAATTTTTAGAGGGAAAGAGGAATATAGTGAACTACAGAAGGGATAGGATGGGAAGTATGAGGGGAAGGCAAGAGGAAGGCAGGGTAGTTAGGGAAAGGGAAGGTAGAGAATGAATTGAAGGTTGGCAAATAAAGAAGTGAAGGAAATGGGAACATAGGGAAGGGAAGGGCTGGAGCTCTTTACCTTAACATATCCACAAAAAAAATTGCTGTCGCCGCCATTTATGCTTTTTAAAATGCAACCGTTTAGGGATTATTATGCACTGCAATATAAATATTAAAAATTATGTCTTTTTAGTTATCAAATTTGGGGAAGGAAATTTTAGAAAAAAATTGAGGGGGGAATAATAAAAAGATGGAATTATATATACCCCTGGCAGTTTGGAGTCATATTAAAAAATATCTACTTAAAAAAAAATTGGGGGGTACTTTTTAATTAGAAAATGACATTTTCCTCGCTTAATGATTTTAACACCAAATGTTTCTATGAATAAATTATCTGACTACAAAATAATTCTGAAAGAAAATATTTCCTAGAAAAAAGTTTTTTTAACATTTACCATTAAAAAATGCTCTAAAAACATTATTTCCTCCAAAAGATTGAATCATTCAAAAAAAAAATGAGCAGAAAAAAATTAACAAAAATGTTGGCACTGTTATTATTAGTAACCCCTTTTTTGTTCAAAAATAAATACTAAAATGACTCTCACTAGTTGTGAGAATAAACAACCCAATATGTTAGTGTAATGTACACAAATACAACCTATAATTAGATCGTAGATAAACTACTCATCTTGATTTCCTCTACTTAGTCTTCTACACTGCAGAGTGTAAGGAAGAGAAAAGTGAGAGAGATATTTCAAGTTTAGTTTCAAATTGCGGAGAACAAATACTAGATATTGGACTCCTTGTGGGGAACCAGACTCCCTGCCCTAAACACATCAATTCTTACCTTTTTACAGAGCTGGAGAAAATAGAAGGGAAGTCAAAGAAATCCGGGAAAGACGGAAAATCTAAATCTGGGAAAGTACACACTAGACTGTACAGTGCCAAGATGAGTGGTCTCAAGGATTTGCTTCAGGAACAATTTGATTAGAAACTTTTACTTCTTGTTCACTAAGAGAGGAGGTTTTGATCTGAAAAGTTTATTGTAAAATACTTTTACAGTAAGTAATTGATTAGTTTCTTCAATTAATGAAATTACGATCAGACTTGATTTTGTTTTCTTTTTTTTCAATTTTTGTTTTCATATAAATGTTAAATGCTTATTTTCAGTTCATTTTAAATGGATTTGATCTCCCACATATTGAAAATTTGGTCTCCTTTCAAAACTATCTTTTGAAAAAAAATTTTATAGCAAAAACTTTTTGTGACTAAGGATTTCTTGATTTCTAAAATTTTATAATTTTGGAATCAAATTCAAATTATGAATTTTAAGTTACATTCATTTCTTTATCCAATATGAATATGAAACTCTGATGTTAATGAAAAAAGAAATCAAATCAATTTGATACTCAGAGTGAGCGTCTGAACTCTAGTGCTCTCCATCTCCAGCTAACAGCCCAGTCTCAGGGAGAAACAAGGAGGAAGGGAGATGGGGAGTCTACCGGAGGAAGAATAAAAAGAGTTAGAAGAGATTAAAGAGCTGAAGGAAGAACAAGGGATATATATTTTGATAGATTATCCCCCCCCCCACTTATTTATTTATATAGTTAGGGGAAAACCATTAAAATGTCTTACTATACCATGTTAAAAAGTATTTTTGAGAAGGGATTGGATAATTTTTCAAAAAAAAATAATTTCAAGACAAGTCCACCAAACTTTGAGGGGATTGTCTTCTGAATGATAAGAGAGGTTGCCATAGTTAATCATATTCATGTGTTATACTCCTATTAAAAATGGTTACTTAGAAGCATACCAAATATTGAATGTTTCTTTTTATTACTAAGGTGTAATTTTCATCTGGTTTTCAAATCATGGAATTTTCGCTATTTAATTCTTGAACCGGCCATGTCTTAATCCANCCCCGTGAAAAAAAATCTGGGGTAATAAGACTTTCAGCTTTCAATAAGACTAATTTAAGACTTGTGCTTTCGGCTTTAAGTTGTAACTAATTTTCCACATAAGTTGGGTCATAAAACCAGTTATTGTATTCGGCGGATATGGTTGGAATTGGTGGGTTTGTTGGCTAGCCTTCTAATGGTAAATTCTAATTTGTTGATGTGGTTAAAAAGGTATTTTTTCAATTTTTCAAAACATAAAACAGAAACTGACGAAACCATAGTTTTTTGTTCGTTAATTTGACTACAGTTATCAGATTATTCTAAAATATCTAAAATTATTTTATATTTATGTCGGAAAGACTAGAGCCATAATTAATCTAGGGTTTTGGTTTCTTGAAAAGTAATTTTTCTTGAGATGTTGGGCATTTTTTATGGCATTTTGTTGACTTTATTCGCTGAATTTAAGAAAAATGGATAATTTCCTGGGTAAAAGTTTTGGTTCACCCTGCACGGGGTTGGGGAGCAATTCTCGAAAATACCCCTGGGTTTATCTAATGTGATTTATATTTAGCTCACCATGTCTGTATGTTGATTGTTGTAGTAGTCTTTACATAATCATGAGAATCCTCTAATTGTAGAATTTAAATCGAACCAAAGGAAGTTTTGATTAAGGTTTCCAATCAAAATTCTGTTGCGCGGAATTGTGTCGAATTGCGCGGAATTACAGGGCTCGCAATTGCGCGCAAGCAAAATCGAATTGCGCGGAATCACTCCTAGTTTTGATCTTAATGGAAATTCTTATGAACTTGCTAAACGATTAAAACGATGAGTTTGATTTGACAAGTAATAGAAAAACGAATTTGAGTTTGAACTCAAATAAAATTGGATTTTAAATTGAACATTTTACCTTCTTCTATATTTCAGTATATTACTCATCTTAAATAATAGTATTTCTTTTATGATACTTAAAAATATATATTTGATATTTATTCTCAATGTGTTAAAAGAATATTTCATATTTACTGGAAGATTAAATCTAAGTACTATGTATGGCGTCTGAATGATAGTTTTCAACCAAAAATTGTTAATTCAAGTTTATATTTAGAGATAAAAACTTTTTTAAAAATCTATTGCTTATAGCGCTAAACTCCATGTCGTTTTGTGTAATCAAAGCTGAAAACTGTAGAGTTGGATACCCTTTATAATGATTGCAAGAATCTGAATTTTCATGGTGGACACTTAGGATTTCTTCTTAAGCCGATCTTTTTTCCTCTTTTTGGAAACCCATACTGGATTCCGACCAACGTGAGTTCTCTTATTAAATGGCGTCTGATTGGCTGTTTGGAATTCTGCATACACCACTCTGATTGGTTGAAATTTAAAAAACTTTCCTGGGTACAAACTTAACATTAAAATAATCCAAGTTTAACAAAGAGAGGAGATCAAGCATTGATCTCAATATCCACAATTCTAAAGTTTTCAGCTCAGATGCCATATTTAAAAAAACATATATTCTGTTATGCTGTGAAACCACTATATCATGAGAAAAAAAATACTGTAATTAATTATTTATTGGCTGTGAAGTAAAATTATTGTAAATATCATGTAGGAAGGAATATACAGAGTTGGTGACAAAAGTAGCTTAGCTACTGTGGTCGGCGAGTATATCAATACAATAAAGATGACTTTTTATGCATTAATCAAATGACAAGTTTACAATTGAACAAAATGAAGCTGTTAATTGAAAACTTCTCTTTGCCTTTTTATTTAATCCTGTATACACAATGAACACTTTTCATCCCTGTCTGTGTATCTATGGGCTTAAAATTTAAAACATCTTTCTATCTTTATATTCTGTATAACTCTTCCTCCATGAGTCATATTTTGGCATTTTGAAAGTATACTTTTTTGTGTTGTTAACTTGTAAATTTGAGCCGTGAATAAACCAGTATATTACCGATCTGAATTTTTTGCATTAAACATAACAACATGTTTCCGCCTAAATAGAAAAAGAAACAAAAGTTACAAACCACGTTTTGGAAATTCCTGAGTCATAAAACAAAAGAACGAAAAGTTCTGACTTAAATTTTAAGTTTCAGCTTATAATCCCACTTCTGACTTAATTTTAACCCTGGGTTTAAATATTTAACTCGCCAAAATCGACGAGTTAAATATTTAAACCCAGGGTTAAAATTTTGAAATCCCGCATTTTCCAAATTAGTCTATCAATCAATCATCTTTCAGCTGAGAAAGCGGCAATCAACGTGCAGTTTTATTTTAAAAGTGAGAACCTTGATTGAATAAATGTTACGGTTAAGATTAATTAATGTTTGCACGTAAAGCCAAAAAAACCGTTGAAACTGGAAATATGTTTTGTTTTCAGATATTTAAATGATTAAAAATTTAAAAACAGCTGATGAGCAAAGGTTAGTGGTTATGTAATATCTCTCCGTAAATCCTTTTTTCTGATTGGTTCAGATACAGGGTGTCCCACATCAAATTAGACCACGTCAATGGGTCTAAATTACGATTTTGGGAACAAATCAGAAAATTTAAGAAAAATGAATCATTTTAAAAAATTTAATAAGGCCAATAGAAATTTTTTTTTGGCAGAAAACGCTAGATTTTTTGCGTATTATGTGCGCATTTGGCGTTTAAAATTGTTGATAATCTAATATGATATGGGACGCTCTGTATTTCCCTTCAGGGTTATTTTGAGAAAGTTTAATGTTTAAGTAGCAACTCATTATTTTACAGAACTTTTAAGCTATAACTTAAATTTCGCCCATTCTTTAGTTTTAGACTCACGAAAAGGACAGTTTAGTGAAATTAATTCCAGAGTTTAATACCTAAGACGACCAAAAGTCGTCTTCCAACTGACATGTTTCATGGGACACACTGTACTTTGAAAACTGTTGAATTCGTGAAGTTATTAAATAAATACTGCGACGGATTTTATAACTTTAACTAAACTTAAAGATCTTTGAATATTTCTAAAAATATTAACGATTGCAACAATTGCAAATCAAAAAGCTTATCCTTCATTTTGTAAGAAAATTTAAGACGCCTTTAACATTCCACAGATTATTAGCTTCCATTGTATTTAAACATCAAGGTGGGACAGGAAATATCATTGAGACAACTCTGATAGTTAATCATCAAATTTTTTCCTTTCTTTAAAGTGTCACAACGCCTTTTGTTTTACCTCACCAACTCACCAATACGGTTTTTGTAGCCCCAGACATAGGCATTTATAATGATTTATCAAAATAACAAGCTATTTAAATATGGAATTTAGATTATGGAGGCGGCTGGGATCTGGAATTGTGTAACTTTAAAATGTCGCAACGCAGCTTGGCCTTTGATTCTACTGAACTAAATCTTATTCTTTTGAAGCCATAGCCAATAGCCATGCACACATTATAGAAAAGTAAGTCATTTGTTTTTTATTTCAGATTTCGAGTAGTTATTGGCACACAGCAAACTAAGATTGTCACGCTCTCACTAAAAAATCGAGCATTATTTTGCCAATTGCTCCTCTTAAACTTAATCCGGAATAAAGCTCTTTGGAATTTAAAATGCCTATGTCTGGGGCTACAAAAAACGTATTGGTGAGGTAAAACAAAAGGCAAAGGCGTTGTGACACTTTAAAGAAAGGAAAAAATTTGATGATTAACTATCAGAGTTGTCTCAATGATATTTCCTGTGCCACCTTGATGTTTAAGAAGATGAGAATATTTGTTATGTTTGTTTTGATGCTACGTGGATTTGACGGTTCTGTCAATATTCCAGAAAGCTGTGACTTTCGATCACAATTTGACCCATTTAACATAATTTGTTTAATACTTTTTTGTTGGCATTTTGAATAGAAATGTATAAAATAAACAAATTCGTAAAGCAAAGGATTATTGAATTAAAGACCAAAACACGTTTGATTTCAAATGGAAGAAACCGAATGCTGCTCACTCTGGTTAGTCCGGTGTGTATCTAAACGCAAAGACGAGTAGAGAAAAAGAACTTTTTCAAAAAATCTAATTTTACTTGTTAAAACTGTTAGTTTTTATCACTTTACAAGTACAGGGTTGCTAAAAAAAAGTTAAAACAGTGCAGCAGTAATCATTGTTCAAATTCTAGAAGTGTTATTCCTGTATGCCGAGTCCATTATCACTCCTGTATGCCGAATCCATTAGCACTCCTGTATGCTGAGTCCATTAGCGCCTGATCTAACCAGGGTTCAGTCATGTGTTTGTTGTCTATTCTGAACCAATAAAAATAGTATGGCGGTAACATCTTTCTTTCTATCTATTTTATTATCCAATTAGATTTATGAATCCTTTAATCGGCGCTATTAGTAAATAGAAATATTTACTTCTACTGAAAGTATAGTGGTGTGCATACTGAAACCAATCTAATCCTACTTCCTCAAATTACGACAACATATTCCCTTTAATTCTCCTCTTTTTTGGAACACCTATTATAATCTAGCATTCCATTCAAAGTATTATTTTACCAAACTGAAACTGTCTAATTAATACGGCCTGAGGTGCATATTGTTTTAGTTTAAATCTCGGTTCAAAAATTTTACATTTAACTTTCCCCGAGTATCTAGATCTAGTATTGTGAAAGCAGTTTCAGTGTTCATTGTGTTTATTTTTTATTAGAAACTACATACATAGATTGTTATAGCGGAGTTGGTGCACAAAATGTAAAATTATATAAACCCTTACACGTGAAATGGTGGTGGGGGGATGTTGAGATAGAGTTAAAATGTCAACAGTATCTAGAGCAATATTAATATCTGTATCTGTACCTTTATCCAGATCTGTTTCTGTATCTCTATTTGTATTTACTTGTGTTCTCGTATATGTAATCTGTATCTGTACCTAGGGCTTTACATGTACCTGAATCTGTACATGCACCTGAATCTGTACCTAGAGTTGTACATGTACCTGTATCTGTACCCCGAGCTGTACATGATTTACCAGTATCTGTTCCTAGATCTGAACATGTACCTGTATCTGTACCTAGAGCTGTACAAGTACCTTTATTTGTATCTAGAGTTGTACATGTACTACATGTACCTGTATCTATATCCTGAGCTTTACCTGTACCTGTATCTGAACTAGAGCTGTACCTGTACCTGTATCTGTACTTAGAGCTGGACATATACCTGTATCTGTACCTAGAGCTGTACATGTACCTATATCTGTACCTAGAGCTGAACATATACCTGTATCTGTACCTAGAGCTGTACATATACCTGTATCTGTACCTAGAGCTGTACATATACCTGTATCTGTATTTAGAGCTGGGTATACCTGTATCTGTACCTAGAGCTGGACATGTACCTGTATCTGTACCTAGAGCTAGACATATACCTGTATCTGTGCCTAGAGCTGGACATATACCTGTATCTGTATTTAGAGCTGGGCATATAACTGTATCTGTACCTAGAGCTGGACATATACCTGTATCTGTACCTAGAGCTGTACATATACCTGTATCTGTATTTAGAGCTGGACATGTACCTGTATCTGTACCTAGAGCTGGACATATACCTGTATCTGTACCTAGAGGTACAATTTACATGCACCTGTATCTGTACCTAGATCTGGACATGTACCTGTATCTGTACCTAGAGCTGGTCATGTACCTGTATCTTTGTAGATTTTTGTACATGCTTAATCTTATTCTGTTAAACGTTCTAAACTTAAAACTGAAAAATCAATTATTTTGTAATGCTGCACCTCGGTCTCTCTCTAAATTTAACTAGTAATCCCTGAACTATTGTAAACTGTTAGAACCTAGTAATATTCATCATGTTGTAAACGTTTTAATATTAATTAGGTAGGGATAATACCCTAAACAGCAAATAGCTAATCTCCACCTAATTGCTATAATACATACATAAATATAGTAAACAATATAAAAATAGTAGCAGATTTTTTGCTTGTAACATTATAACTTGCATATGTATTTTTAGCAATAAACTATATCTTATCTTATCTTATCTTATCTTATCTTATCTTAACTGTACCTAGAGATGTGCATGGACCTCTGTACCTAGAGCTACACAAGTACCTGTATCTGTACCTAGAGCTATACAAGTACCTGTATCTGTACCTAGAGCTATACAAGTACCTGCATCTGTACCTAGAGCTGTACATGTACCAGGAATAAGAAGAAAGAAGGTATATATATATATATATATATATATTCGGAATAGTAAAATCGTATCCCAAATCAAATTCTGGATAAATCCATCCTGTATCCTGATTTGTTTCTTTTTCTCTGGAATGACCCAATATTTATTTAATAAAGCAAATCTTGAAAATTCTTCACTGAAGTAGTTTATATTAAAGTTCTGAAAATATTATTTCTAAATAACAGACCAAGTAAAGTTGATCTTAAATAACACAAAGACATTCGTCTAAAGGGCAAAAAATAAATATATTGCTTGTTGAACCCTCTCTTCAGATCCTTGGTAAAGACTGAACTATATCTCTGGGGGCATAACATGGCCGACAATATTGCTTTCTCTGCCAACAGATAGTCTCATTACAGCATCATTCTCAATACATGTTAAGGACGGGTTCGACCCTCAAAAGTTTGCTGTCATGCTGCCTCCACTCCGGATTCCATTCATTGCGCCCCTCGGCCTAGGCTTGGTCTTATCTATTCTGCTATTATGTAACTTTCCATGGTTAGGGTTGCACAGTTATCCCGGAGTTCAATGCCCTTGGACTTGATAGGCCTCGTGTTTGGATTAGATTACGACGCTTGGTTGGTTTACAATAATTGATAATTAGAGAAAATTGGTTGTTTTTCAAAGATTTGGCACAGACCGGATTCAAGTTGTACACTGCATGGATATAAACAGGTAATGGAGACCTTTGAAGTTTAATAAAAATTCTTACTTTGCTGTCAGATTAATCAAAAAAAAATTAATTTTAGAACAACGATATATTTTATCCAGTCAGTGCTATAGGGAGGAGGTGCAGAGCAACATGAGCCCCGCGAATTGACCTCCTGAGCCCCCTGAATTGCAGAATGACCTCCTAACCAATCAAAATCATCTCCCTATCTCAAGATTTTGATATTCTCAACATGATCAGAAAGTTTTTAATATTGGACAAACAATGTGTCTTAAAAAGTCGTCTTTTATTAAGATTAAAATTTCTTTTTTTGTATTAATTTCACAACTTCTAGATTCCTACATGATACACTTAGATGAGCGAGGGAAGACAACCTCCCCCGCACAGCTTTCGAACCTCATTTTACCTATTTGCGGCAATACGCGTCCCCAGAGGGCTTCCGAACCTCCCCTAAAAGTCTTCCGGGAAGGATTTTCCATTTTCAATCGTCAAAATTTCTACTTAAAATGGGACTAATTTGATTATTTAAACACGGTAGTCGATCTATTTTA